GATTCCTTGTGGGCATAAACATTCCCTAACATTTCCCCCCTTTTTTTCTCTTAGAATTATGAAGAAGAAACACTCATACACTCTTAAAAATAAATGTTTTTTTTTTTTGGCATCAATGTTCCATGAAGAACCTTGAACATCCATGGAACTTTACAAGGTTCTTTAGACTGGAAAAAGTTTCCTTAAATTATTAAAATATTCTATAGACTAAGAAAAATGGTTCTTTTAAGATTTGGTCACTGTAAGGTTCTTTAGGGAACCAAAAATTATTTTTGGAAAGATTATTTTTAAAAGTGGCTTTGACCTCCATCAATTGCTCTTTCACATAACTTTCATGAATATTTTATGACTTTAGGCTGAATTGAAGTTTGGGTTTTTAACTTGAACCCTAACGGACTCCGAACGGTTTCCCAAGATCCTGCTGGGGGCCACCCACAGGTCACTCGGGGGGTCAAAGGTCAAGTGAGAGGGTTGGAAGCTTGCGAGTGTTTCGGCGTACCACAACATGTGAGCGGCAGCCATTGTGAGTCAATCAGAGACTTTAGATGACGGAGACAATGAGCGCTGAACATCAGATAAAATCCACCGACACGATCCAGTCCATCGCAATCAGTAACGATCAGTGACAGCTTCTTCTATAGAGGCCACTTTTTCAGTGGCGCTGGTTCCAGAAGTGTTTTTTCCCATTCATTTTTCCCATAGGGATGTTAAAAAGTCTTGGTTAAAAAAATGTGAACCAAACTAACCAGCTATGAGCTTAACGGCTTTAGTGAGGGAAAGAACTACAATCCCATGAAGCACTGCAAATGACTTAATTGAATTAAAAAGTAAGGTGAAATGTAAAACCATTCATGAACTGAAGCCCCGCAAATGACGTAATCAACTCTCGTTAACGCACTGGCCCCGCCCCCAGACCTGTACGTCATATTACATTTCATACAGTTGACTGTTGACAAATATGATGCAGGACAACAACTCCATAAATGCAGTTATGCCTTAAAAATTCAAGATATTGGGGCAAAAAATGCACCTGTATGTGTTTTTGTCTGATATTTATATCATATGATAAGAGATATCACACCAACAGCGAGAGCAATATCACACGAGTGCTGTTTTTGTCACGAAGAACAGGAGTGCAAATGTGAATTTATACAACAGTTCAGTAAATAAGAAGTTAATATTGTGTAAAATTTAAACACAATATTTTGCGTTTTGTTCAATTTTGCCAACGAAAATATTACCTATAAAGCCATAGCAGAATTGTTGTGCGTCTCCGAGTGACATAGCTGTGTTTAGTTTCTGAATGAATCCGCGTTTTGAACGAATCATGTGAACGAATGATTCAAAGAGAGAGCCGTTTACTGAATTCCTGAATGAATCAGCCGTTTGAACGAATCGACTCATAAAGACATTTTACCGC